TCCGCGCCCTTCTCCCCCGCCCCCTCGCTGCCTGACCCCTCAGTACCATTCAGGGCAGAGGCGGGGGCAGCGGCAGCGGCAGCAGAAGCAGTAAGAGACGCCTCGGTGCTTGTTGCCTGGCCTGACGGGCTGGGTTGAGCGGAGGACGGCAGCAGTGTGCCGACCACCGCCGCTTCAGCGGGCTTGGGAGCAGTGGTACGTCCTGCAGAGGACACTGGGAGGGGGAGCGGGAAGACGACGACGCGGGTTTAGGATTCACTGGCCTGCTGCTAGCACCCGAAGTAGAGGCAGAGGGAGAGGGCGAGGGAGAAGGAGAGGGAGAAGCAGACGCCGAGATCGAGTTGCAAGGGGACGAATCGGGTGACGAGGAATGGCGCGCAGGGCAGGCGAGAGCAGCAACGCACCTCGTTTGTGCAGGCCGGCGAAGGCAAGCGCGCCGAGCCCCAGCAGCAGAACAAAGCCCGCCGCAAACTCAGGAAGGCCTGTGCAGGGCACAGAAGATGGGGATGGGATGAGGGGTGCGCGCAAGCGAGAACGACGTCAAGTGAATGAGGAACGGCAGATGGGACATGCAGAGCAGTGGGATGGCGCGAGGCAGGTAGTGCGGCAGCATGGCACAACCGTCCAGCACAGCTTGCACATGCACTTCTAGTCTCAATGCGCCGGCAGCACCATCGCCGCTTCGGCACCTGTCTTTTATCTTGGGTCGTCGAGCTGGGCAAGTCCAAGGCGCCCTAGTCCCACGAGACATTACGTCAGGGCGCTGCAAGAGACGGGGTACGTTGCTTCTTTGGATGTGCGTGCTGAATCTGATCTAGGATCCTCGCTTCATCGGATCACGACATACCTGGTGAGTTTCCCGCCGACGATCGTGATTGGTCTAGATCCGACGGATCGCTCCATCCCCCGGACACGTCCCTCTTCTGCCCGTCGCCCCACGACGCCGCAGCATCACCGCCGCCGCCCCCGCCACCCGCTCCGGGCCTGCTCGCGCCGTTGAGCGCGCCTGGCGGAAACTCCGCTCCCGTGGGGCGTTCTGCGCCCTTCCGCGGCCGTTGGCCCTCCCCGCCCGTGGAGTCGCTTAGAGGCGCATCGCTGCCCGCCTTGGATGCGCGGAGGGCGGGCGGACGAGACGGGGGCAGCGGAGCGAAAAGCGGGCTCGGGAAGGAAAGGTGGGGAAGGAACGGAGTGCGACGATGCGACGATGTGCGACCGGCTGAAGATGGGCGAGGGTGGATGCGACGAGTAAGTAGGGTGGACGAGGGGGAATGGAGGATAGAGGCTGGAGTGGCGGAGAAACAAGTAAGAGGTGTTTGTCCTGCCGTCAGCGAGGACGACCCCACGCACTGACCCGCCATGGCTGCGCGACTTGCGACGGAGGACGACCGGAAACAACCGTCTCGGAGGTGTTGTGCACACGAGATCAAGAACGAAAATGGAGCGCAGAATGGGTTTATTACAGGCGCAAGGTAGCTCGGGAGATGGATGAACGGTTCACATGAAAGGAAAACGCGCTTGATCGAATTCGCCTCTCCACTTTACAGCCTGTATCGAGTCGACAGGCTCGCTTCACTACTAGGGCGAACAGCATTCTTCACACGACACGTCAGATGGATGTTCATGGGATCTTCCCATGAGATGGGAGGGATTTGTTCTCCGTACAGTACACTAATCAAACTTGGTTTAGGTAGCATTTCCTTGGTTGAGTACTAACTTCATTGGCAATGAATGGTGCAAACATGAGTTGGAGACTGCTTTTTAATAACTTGTCCTTTTATTCATATTTAACATTTATTGTCATGACGGTTACGACATCACTATAAACAGATGCATTTGTACAAACAGCTCATCAGATAAAGTGGGTGGAAGCATCCCATATGCCGACACACAGGTCCTTGTCTGAGGCTGGGAGGTCACAGCGAATTCACCTTCAAAGTTCCCTGCGCTCCAGTACAATAGGAGGGATACCCTTGCGTAATTTCACCCCTCCACATTCTGGGCACTGCAAATGGTCAACACAGGGGTGCAGGGTAATGCAAGGGATTCATTTGGCAAAGCGGCAGGTAAAGTTGCTGGGTGGGAAGAAATGCGGGACGGAGGGAGAAATGGAAGTCGGGACGAGAGGGAGGACAGAGAAGATAGGGAGAGAGGGTCGTGTAGAGGAACAGAAAGAAATCACGTTCTAAGACGAGTCCAGTGGTGATTGGACAATCACAGCGGAAATTCCACCCACACATACCCTGGAACAGCCTTCGCCTAAGCAGGCAGGGCAGGGATCATTGCGGTCGAACTTTCCCTCCCATCGGATCACGCCTGTGCCCTTGCATAACGTGCAGCAGTGTAGCCCATACCCCCCACACAGCTCACACTGCTCACCGCCACACACACCAGCAAGATAGCACACAGGGACAACAACCAGGAGACAGACGGAGAGACACGATGAGACAAGCCTTGGTGACAAGCATCGGAACTGCACATGCGCATGCATCCGTGCAGGCATGGGCATGGCCTCACCTCATTGCCATGCTCCTCATGCTCGTGCTCATGCTGGTGCTGATGCTCCCTCATCACTAGCGTCGCTATGCCAGCCACAGCCAGCACAACTGCCACCACCACTCCTCCCTTGCCTGCACCCACACAGACCAAGCACAAAGTAAGGCAATAAAAGAAAGTCAGTATGGCTGCTACTTTGAACAATCACGCACCCGCTGTCAACGCCCCAGTTCTTTTCTTCCCTGACTTCCCCCTCATCGTCCAAATCCCCACCTCTATCCCCGCCTACTCTGCCCCCCTGCTCTCCTCACCTCGCAGCGCCCCTGTCATGCGAGCTCCTGGCCGTCCCGCTGTGGCGGCCGCAGCGCTCACAGTCGCGACAGTCCGCGACGACCGTCGCAGGAGCGCCTGCGACAGCGACGCTGTCGCCACCTGTGCCGCGGCTCGCGTACTTTCGTGCCCCACGCTGGTCTCCTCCGCGCCCGTGGCCGTCCCTGCGGCGGGCCGGGCGGCGATAACGCCGGCGACCTCATGATGCACATGAGACGAGGCGGGAAGAGTCGAGCTGCAAGGGGGGATAGAAAGGGGAGGAAGGTAAGTCTGATGCCTTCGAAAACTCGTCTTCTTGCCACAAGTTTACACTCCTCTCTCTCACCTGCTCGAGACACCAACTTCCGCCTCCTCGCCACCCCCTTCGCGCGCAGTAGCCGAGCAAGAGAAGCTCCAGCGGCGAGGGACACCATGACTCGCACCGTGCGACGGGCTATGGAAGTTGGAGTGGCCAAGAGACGGGGAGCGGCGGAGGAAGGGGGACGAGCACGCACTGGAGAGTGTGTGCGGCCGTGCGGGCATGGCGGTCGCCACGGCGAGCGACGTGCACGTGCCTGTAGTGCTGCTGATATTGGGTGGTCGCGACGCAAAGACACAGACACAGAGAAACGGATTGGTGAGGGCTGAGGTATGGGGGAGGAGGAAAAGCGTAGATATGTCGATTGGGCAGTGTAGGGAGCTCAGCGACTCAGAGAAAGAAAGGCTCAAGAGGAAAGGACGCGATGGTGAGGATTGGGGCGCCATGGTCACTGCAGTGCTGTCCTCACCTGTCAATGCGTTGAGCCGCCGTGGACTGGCCACGCGTCAGCGCTGTGGAGTGGCACGCAGATGGTAGTAACGATGCCATTAGGCAAGGGCGATCAGAGCGCGCAGAACGGGAAAGGCTGGTGGACTTGAGCAGAAGAGGCATGATTGACTCCTTGATTCGCGAAAGGTCTACCTCAAGGCTAGATGGAGGTGGACGGTCAGAAAGGCAGAGGAAAAGCTAGTGAAAGTCCAGGACCAGGCAGATCTAGAGTGAAGGCTCACAAATCTATCGGTCCAGTTTTTTTCCTCTTTTTTCCACAAGTGAAGAGACTTGGTAACGAGCTTCTGAAGATAGTGTCATGTCTTTAGGACAGCAGCTATGTGTGGAGAAGTTGTTCAATGCAGGCGGACGACTATGTGGTCCCGTTCATTCAGTTTCGGTCGTTCCCCAAAAGTTTTGGGCTCAGAACGGATAAAGAGAATATTCTACATTTCCCAGTGTCCCTCTGCTACGGCAGAAGGAAACTAGAAGATAAACCTTCAGGATTATCCTGTTTTGCTCCACTGAGACTGCCCGTGGCGTGAATTCATCTGCATTTTCAAGAATTGTGTGGAAGAACCAGTCATTTTAGACACAAGCCCTAAACTCTCGGGAAATATCTGCAAGTTTGCTGTCGCCCTAGCTGCAAGTCTGATTGGGTCCTCGAACCACGGCGCGCGCGATGAACCTGCACCCGTACCTGCCGCCAAAGTTCTTCGGAATTTTCATGGCTGGCCTGAGCACCACACGACACAACACGAGGGGTTGATGCAATTCTGACGTGCGTCGAATGGCTGGTAAAGCTCGAAAGCCGTGGCGCCTGAACGGCGTTACACTCTCTCCGACTGCTACTTTACCTCGTCCGTTCCTTTGCAAATGACGTGGATGCTGTACCGCTGGATGGTCGAAACTGCGGGACCTATCAGCTTCATGTTTCGCTATCAGCTGAGTCGTGTTTCATGTTAGCTGTGATGTAGGTGTATTTATTTTCCAGCGCTTGCAGGTCTCAATTCTTCGTGGAAAGATAATTCATATTTGTGGCTTGCTCGTTGCTAGGGGAATCTTCCTCAGTCCAGCCACTATCGAGGACAATCTCCCCAGCCTTTCGGGCTGGCCTTTTAGGCCTGCGAATCTCGAGGCTCCCGCAACCTCTCTGGTGATGCCACATCACCCACCATTTGGCTCCGCCAAGCGCCTGTCGAGGAAGCGGGGATTTGCGCGGCATGGATGGTGGGGCCAAGCTGTGCGCATGGAGTGACGTCCGTGCATGCAGCGAGCAAGAGAAGCTAGTATCTGCGGCGGTGATTATTCCCGTGCTCGCAGCAACACCACACCCAACACGTACTGGTCGTCGCTAACCACGGTGCAGCTTCCTTGCACGAGTGAAACCATGGATGCCTGCGTCGCTGCCTCGTACTCCGCTCCCAAGTGCGCTGTCACCGCGGCACGCAGCTCCTTTTCAAAATCCACCACTCCGCTCGTCCAATGCAGCGCTTTCCGCGGCACACCACTTCGCACGCCGTCGCTTTCAGCTGGTCGTAGGCCAGTAGCCCCGGTAAAGCAGAGGCAGACAGTAAGAAGCGGGCTGTTTGATTTCGTTGAGAAAATCAGCTTCCCAACAGATTTGTTCACGGCGTTGACGGGCTCGAAGGTGAGCGACGAGCAGCGCGCGGCGCTCAAGGAGGAGCTGCTGGAGGCCATCGCGCCGCTCCAACGAGGACTCACCGCCACGGAGGAAGACCAGGAGATCATCGAGGAGGTACCCGCCGCTTGCCGGCAGTACGCGCGTAGATGGTCTTTCTTCCCCGTCTAGATGTGCCTTCCTCGTTTCGTCAAGTCGATAAAGAGCGAGCCCAGCTAATGCTGCCGCGTGCGACATTCCTTCGTTATTATGCGTTTACTCGCGTCGCCACAGTTTCTTGCGCGCTCTGCCTCTGTACCCGTCGCATTCGCAGCACTCATTCGCGCATTTGCCTCCTCCCGCCTCCTGCCCGCCGTGACGTTAACCTCCGTACGAGCCTTTCCGTCTGTTGCCCTTCTCTCGCTCCGTCTCGCTCCGTCTCGCTCCGTCTCGCTCTGTCTCGTGCCGTCCCGCGCCGTCCCCCCACGCCGTGTGGCAGCTGGCGGCGCAACTGGAGGCGGTGAATCCGACAAAGCAGCCGCTGCGGTCGCCGTTGATCAACGGCAAGTGGAAGCTGCTCTACACCACGTCCGACACCATCCTCGGCCGCAGTGTGAGTCGCCGCGCGCAATGCCGCCTCTAGAAGCTCGAGAACAAGGAACGCCGAGTAGCGCAGCGTAGTCGTGAATTTGTGCCATGCCATCCTTCGGCCCGCTCCATGCGTTCCCGCTCATCCACTACCCGTCGCTTAGTCTATCCCGTTTCCCCAGTCCCGTGTCGATCTTGTGAGCCTGATTCTTTCTAGTCGTTTCCTTACTCGCCCCGCCCATTGCCCGCACGCCATGTCTCTGCGCCTGCCGCTGTCCCCGCCGCTGCTGTTGCGCAGAGGCCCTTCTTCCTGCGCCCCTCGGGCCCCATCTTCCAAGCCATCGACGCGGAAACACTGCAGGCGCGCAACCTCGAGACGTGGCCTTTCTTCAACCAGGTACCCACACCGCTGCTGTTGCTCCAGCTGCTGCTGCCGTTGCTGTCGCCGTTTCCGCCGCTGCTGGTGCTGCTGCTGCTGACGCAGGTGGAACGCAAGTGAAAGAACGAACGGAGCATTGATGTCTCTCGCAATCCGGGCATCACCCCACACGCGCTCTCATTGCGCCCTGCGCCTCTCGTGCTGCTTCAATGCGCGGCGTCGCGACCCCGTGCGTGGCAGGTGCAAGCCACGCTCACGCCCACGTCCGCCTCCGCTGTGGACGTCAAGTTCGACGTCTTCAAAATCCTCTCCTTGGTACGCTGCTCGCCGCACGCACTGCCTCTCGCTGCTTGCGTGCCCCTGTTCACCTCCTGCTATTATCCCCATCACATGTACTGGCATGCCTGCTTGCGTCCTTCTGTCCTGTCGCTCCATTGCGCCTCGTCGCGCTCAAAACGTTGCACTGCTCGCTACCCCTGCCTCATTGCTGCTTGGCAGGTGCCCATCAAGGCACCAGACACAGCCTGGGGGTCCCTTGAAATCACTTACCTAGACGACGACCTCAGGTCAGCATGCTCCGTGCCCTTGGCCTTGTTCTGGTGCTCCACCATTCTTGTTCTGGTTGTCCACTTTCAGCCACTTGTCAAATTAGTGCCTCTCTGTTACTCTCCTGGCACTCCCCGTGCTCTGGAGAAATTCATAGCTCAACCCTGGTGCTCCTTACCACTTCTTTTCACCTCGTTCCCCCGGCAACTGTGGTTGCTGTGTGCAGGATCTCGCGGGGCAACAAGGGCAACCTCTTCGTACTTACCTTGGAGGATGCCTCATACCGCATTCCCCTGGGAGAAGAAGAGATTGAGGAAGAGGAGTGAATCGCCGAGTAAGGGCAACTGCATCAGGCAGTCAGGAGTCCAACTGTTTGGTACACATTGCGAGGGCATTCTGGTTGATGCATTAAATGTGTTCAGTTTAGAAACGGAAATGGCCAGCCAGTTTTAGGGCTGTATGGTCAACTGTGTGCTTGCAGAGCGCACGATGTTAGAGCAATGGTTTGAGTCCATGCATTTGTCAAGAAATCCCCAATTTAACGGCATCAAGTGGTGTGGTTGTCATGGTCCTGTACCTTGTTTATCCATCTGATATTGGTGCCCACGTCAGCACAACAACTGCATCTTGAAAGATGAAAGCTACATATTCTTGTGTATGTCCTGATCATATATCATGATAGAACGGCCTGTATCAGCACAGCAGCAGCAGTAATCTTGAAAGACTGAAAGCTACACATAGATATTGTTTTTTGGTCCGATGATAAATCTTGCAGCACTGTGATTTCATTGACCATTAGCTGCCGCTGTGCTGATGCAGAGTTGCTGGATTCTTCTTTAGCATTGTTCGTTGGAGACTTACATCAGAAGAAAAGATGGTGCCATGACTAGGTACCACAAATGGCACGAGACGAAGAAGTAAAAGCCTGGAGCCCTGGAATGAAGCACTGCTGCCAAAAGGGCACATCTCGTACCCAGCTCTTAAGAGCTACTATATCAAGCTAAGCTTAAGAGGTAGTGTCGGCTGGCACAAGCTTGGGGGTTTGGTACTTGGCCTCGGTGGCATACCAGTCCTCAAGGTTGACGAGCGCATTGAACTCAGTGAAGGTGGCCAGACGCTCCAATGCTCCACGCGTGGTGCCCTCCTGCTTCAGTTCCTTGTGGATGTCAATTAGCGCACGCGTGGCTGCGTACAGCCCTGTCAGCGGGTTCACTATCAGGTGGAACCCAAGGTCCTGAAAAGACGCGAGGGACGGGAGGACAGATGGGTAAGCAGCCAGATCGGAAATAAAGAGCAGGAGGAGAAGCAATGTATGGAAAGTCATGACGCTGGAAATGAGTTGGTGAGTAGTGGTTCGGCACGTGCGTTTCAGGGGTTGGTGCTTACAGAGAGCTCCTGAGGAGTGAGGAGGGGAGTGACACCCCCTTCCAGCATGTTGCACACTCGGATGCCCCGCGTGTTGCGCCCAATCTCCCGCATCTCCTCCACATCGCGAGGCGCCTCCACAAAGCACCCATCAGCTCCAGCCTGGATAGCCAGGCCACAATAAACGATACTCTCAGCATAACAGAACATCACACGAGTGGGCTATTGGGTAATGACGAAGACCACAAGCGGGAACTGGAAACGTACATCCATGTATAGGTTGGCGCGTGCAATGGCATCAGCGAGCCCTCTCTTCTGTGACGTGGCACGCGCATCTGTACGCGCCACAAGGAAGAAATCCGCATCGCCAATGGCGTCCCTCGCTGCTGCTATCTTCACTGCAGCCTCCTCCGCTGGAATCACCTGCACAGGAAAGGAACGAAAGAGGACAATTTTCGCCAGATGCCGTACGCAATGGGCTTCTGCTGGAACATTCTTTGTGCTAAGTGCACTTCATCTGACCCAAGCTGTACTTTTAAATTTGAATAGAAGGAGATCATGCTGCATGCTGGTCACGGCACGTAGCTGCTACTCGCACGCACCTGCTTGCCCCTCATGTGTCCTGATGTCGGCACCGTGCAATGAACGCCACGTCACGGAGGAAAGAAAGAGAGTCCAGTGTGACGACGGTAGGCGGGCGAGGGAATGGGAAAAAGAGGATTCTGTCAGTGTACAGGTTAGTGTGATACCAAACAAGCGAAAAGGTGTGTTGAGAGTGAAAAGCGAGAGATAGTGTAGCCACAAGGAAAAGACACCCTCTCAGGCACCTAGTGATAGCAGCTTGTTGGGAAGAAAAGGGTGGACGCTTACCGCACTTCTTAGGCCAGACTTGATCCTGAAATGACAAGGGTGGGCGCAGAACACGGGAGGGGGGAGATGAAGGAATGCACGGAGCAATGCTTCGGCTATGCGATTTGTAGCGGACGGGGGTGCACTTGCGAGCAGCGGAGCACATTCGGGGAAAACGATGCGCATGGAAGGAGTGCTCAGAAGAGGCGAGAGCAGGGACACGCAAAGCGTGCACGGCGGAAACGGGTGGTGGCGGTGGTGCGTTGTATCAATCACTCCAGCGAGCTCACCTCGATGAAGCAGCCCGCAGCACCGGCGGCAATGAGGTCCTTCACTGTGCGCTGGACGTTAAGCGCATTCCCGCCCCCAGTGTCTGCCAGGGCCGACCCGATTAGACGAGATAAGAGGATAAATCGAGCGGGAATGAGTGATGGAACGGGGGGGGAGTTGAGGGTGGAGAGAGAGAAGAGAGAGGAAAGGGGAGATTTGGTGGGCACTAAACGAATTTAAGAGATTTTGGAACAGATAGTTAAGAACGGAAAGCTGCACGCACCTGCGTCAACAAAGATGGGAGTGGATGGAGCCGCGGCGCACACGTAACGAGCTGTGGCGCACATTTCAGTGGGACTGTGGGAAATTTCGAAGAAATGCGGAAAGCACGAGAAGGTAGCTTGATTTTTCCTTTTTCATGAGAATTTTAATTTCTCACATTAATTTTATCCGTTAAAACGGACTACCATGGGCTCAGAATAGAGAATGCCATGTTATTCAGCTCGTTTCCAAAACTGGTAAGCGTTTGATTTTAAAAAATGTCAGGCGGAAAAAACCATGCAAGAAGCACGTACGTCAGCAAGCCAATGTCGGGTTTCCCAAGTTTGGCAGCAGCAGTTGCATATCCCGAGATGAATCCGGCTTGGAAGCCAGACTGTTCAATGATGAGGGCAGACAGCGCATCGTAACAGCCGGGGAGGATCAGAAATTTGTTTTCGTTCAAGAGGCGGTGAATTCGGGTGTTGCCGCTGGCCATGGCGGTGATTCTAAAAACCCTCCGTGGTTTGGACACAAGGAAAGATGCGGTGCCATTGGAATGAAGTCTCGTGCTCTCCGAGCCAAGGAAGGAAGAATGAAGCGTGGAAACGGATGCCTGAACCACGGAGGCGGCCATGGTGGACGTGTGGCTTGAGAACAGGATGGAAACTGAAGGGGCTGTGTTGAGGTTGTAAATGATGACAGCAGGCACGAATTAATCTGTACTGGACATTTTATGGCCATTATGGTGGCGGGTGGGACGGCCATTTTCCAATTCTTCCATTTTCCCAACCAAGGGGATGCAGGCGCCAAGGATGTGCAACATGCTTGTGTGACCTACGATCACCAGTGGCAGAGACCAACTGGAGCTCATACGACTCCTCGTAAGGGCCAGGTTATGCGTGCGGCTCGTACTGATGACGCAGGAATGACCTGGCAGTTGATGTAGAAAGCCTGGAATGCCGATCAACGTGTGACCTGTAATTTACGTGGCCATTGCCAACGAGTAGAACACGGAAGACAGCATCGAGGCGTGACGTGGAGATCCTGACTGGAACGAATGTTATTGGTTGTCCCCTGGTTTGAGATTTTCTTGATTAGAGCATGACGTTTGTGTCTAGAAAGCTCAACACTGTACCGGTACGAAATATTAACGTTCAGGGAATGTACAGAAATGCAGGCCTAAAGAGTATCATGGATTCATGAACTAGACTCATGAATGATTGCTTTTAACCATCCACATGAGATGAAGGGTTTTCAGCTTAATATATTTAAATAGCTCTGCAGAGTAACATGCTGTTATCCACGCATATACAATCAAGGTCATATAGAATTTGAAGCTTTCCTGGCCATTTTTTAAGGCCCATACGATTAACTGAATATTATTTAACCATTTAATTACATTATATTATTATTAATGTACATACTGCTGTAATTGAACCTACGTGAATATTATAGAAGTTATAATCATAAAAATGTAAGAGCCAATGCTATATAGATCTCGAGTCAAAACTTATCACGTTTATTCCCCACCAATCTCGTCCACTTGGATGGATGGCGAAGCACCGTCTTCCCTGCTGGATGCCACTCTGTCACCCCTCAGCCGTCCGTTTTCGTTGTTACAGCATAACAGTTTGACAGGGTATGAGCGCACTGCCTAGTGACTGGTTCCTTTCCCCTTCGAGCCCTTGCAATGCTAAGGGCGCGTAACCATTTTGTCCTGACGGTTCGTTAGACGGACAGTCCGTTGTAAACGCTGTGTGATTGGTCCTCACTTCCCTTGCGAACAATATTACAGTGTTACGGTTCATTGCGAGGACAGAATCAACCAATCACGGAGCGTTTAGAACGGACCGTCCGAAAACGAACCGTCAGGGGCAAAATGGTTACGCGCCCTAAATGGACAAATCCCTGTACCACACCTTTCATGTAACGAGCGGCGACTCATTTGACACTCACGAAATCCTGAATAAATGTTACTGTACTCTGATTTGCCTTGGATCAATTCCCTCCCCCACCCTCTCTCCGAAAGTATCAGGTCCAGGAGTCAACCAATAGGGCACGCCCATCTTTCTCAACCACAGGTCGGCCGTCCCATAATCTAGGAGCTGATGGCTTGTAGGGTGTCCGTCCATCAGGATCTCCAACTGAAGCGACTCTCACACAGTTGTAACAAAAATGTTACTCCCAGGGCCCACCCTCCTTCCCCCCAACCCCTCGGGAAACCCCCACCGCCTTTCCACCTGGTCATCCCCGTCCCCGTGACTGGCGTGCGCGGCCCACTAGGCTGGGCGCTGGGCTGACAAACTACTCCGCCCGCAAACACAGGAATTGTTTCGTACTTGCTCCGCCGGAACCTCCTTTCTGCCTCTTCCGCTTCCGCAGGGCTCCCACCACTGCTGTCTCTGGCTGGACACACTGAACCAAGCATCCTTCATCAATCCACCAACACGAACTCTCCTGGGAACCAAGTGTAAGCTATCGCTGATCAGACGTCTGATTATTTTCAACACGGCCTGTATCAGGATCGCGAACTCTCGTTATCAAGAATCGGAGAACGAGCCCTTAGCCATTTTCTCTCTGAACCGTGGTCGTGAGCCACCGGATTATTCGTCGACATTCCTGTGACACCCAACTGGTCGCTTTGATTGAGGCGCTGTGCGGGCTGTGCCATAACCTCTCAGTTCCTAAAGCGGGATCTACGTAGGGTAGTCTACCGCACGTCATCCGTCTTTCGCAGACTTTGTTTGATTGCTGCACCAACGCAGTGGCCGTATCGTTCCACTTCAGGTAGCAATTCCAGTAGCGGTTGCTATAGATCGGATCTCGCCTGATTTTCGACCGATCGCTTCGCTTTTACACCTCAGTCGCGAAGACTCTGGCGTGGACACAATGGACATGCAAATGGCGTCAGTTTCGGTCCAAAACGGCCTTTATCCTCCCAGTGGTGCCTCCCCTTGTGCTGACACGTCATCCATGCTTTCTGTGCCCCTGTCGCCACAGCTAAGCCCACTCCCGCCAGCCGCGGTGCCAGTGAGCACGTCTATGGGAGCTGGCTGCGGGCCTCAAGGGAGTCACACGGCAGCTCAGGTAGCTGCAGCGAACGACTTCAGCAATCAACACGGAGAGGCTGTCAGTTCCTTGGGACGGATCGGAAGCTTGTCTCGGCCTGGATCAGACACTTGTTTGCTTCAGCCTCATTTAGCAGCCGGCAACACAGCAGACACGGGAGTGCCGGCTTCATTGAGCTGTGCTTCGGAGTCCAGTAACGCGTATGCGTCTGGCGCAGCGCCAATCTCAGGCGTTGGATCCTCGAATCTGGCCGGCACGTTGTCGTCAAGCATGCCCGCGACTACCACGTCATCCGCGTCCGCACTAGGCAATAACGACGCAGGAGGTGCCGCCACCACTGCGGCTGCGTCCAATGGCAGCACTGGCGCTGCTGCTGCTGCCTCCGGCGCCGCTGCTGCGGCCGCTGCGGGAGCGACGCCGTCGATATCTCCGTGCGGCGCTTGCAAGTTCTTGCGGCGCAAGTGCACGAGCAGCTGCGTGTTCGCGGCGTACTTCTCGCCCGATCAGAGCCTGCGATTCGCCAACGTGCACCGCATCTTCGGCGCCAGCAACGTGGGCAAGCTGCTCCAAGACCTGCCGCCGCCCAGCCGAGAGGACGCCGTGAACAGCCTCTCGTACGAGGCAGAGGCCCGCATCAGCGATCCGGTCTACGGCTGCGTTGGAGCGTTGTTTGCGCTGCAACAACAGGTACGCGGCGCAAGCGCGAAAATTGTGATTGTGTTTTCGTTGATCCGCTCCTGATGTTCCCTCCTGCTCTTCCCGGTAAACATATTTATCTGATCGTACATCGCTCTGTTCCTTCTCGTTCTGAGCGTGTCGAATGCTGTCTTCTTGCGTCATCATTTCGATTTCTTCTCCCTATTGACGTTTTAAGGCCCAGTGGATAAGCAGCTACCCATTCGAGCGGGTTTGGATCGTAATTCTGATCCGTCACGTGAGTTGTCCGTTGGTGGGGTGTGAGTGCAGGTGGTGCGGCTGCAAACGGAGCTAGCCATGGCGCAGACGGAGATCTCTCGTCTGCGTACCATCACAGGCTCTCCCTCCGGCCTCGCGCACGCGCCCCATGGCCACCCGCACGGGCACCCCCACGCGCCTGGCTCCGCGGCTGACATGATGACGGCTTCCTTCCTCCCTGTCAGCGCCGCTGCTGCTGCCTCCGCTGCCGCTGCTGCATCCGGCCATGCAGGGATGGTGGGCGGAGCCTACAGTGGGAACGGGGCGATGTTAAGTCAGGCATATGCGAGCAACGGGCTGATCAAGCCCGAGCTTGACTCATGTAAGCCCCATCCATGCTTGTCCGCTCATCCTTGGCCACCTTATCTCACACACAGATAGTCAATCAGACACATGAGGAGCCGATTTCACATTTCCCCTGTGTCCCATGCTTCTACCATCTTGTCTCGTTTGTTTTAGTTGCAGGTGCCAGCATGGCAGCAGCTGCGGCTGCTGCAGGGCTGGGAGGAGCAACCAGTGCAGCAGCAGCCAACGGGCTGGTCCCTGCAGCAGCTGCCGCGGCTGCTGGTGCAGGCATGGGCGCAGTGTCCATGGCAATCCCTGGGTTACGCCGGCCTGACGGCCCATCGCCTGCGTCATTGAGCATGCTGATGCAGCCGCCAGGGCTCATGAACCCCTCTCGCCTCTATGCGCTGCCGCCTCACCTAGGCACAGCGGGCCCGTCGGCAGGAGTGCCGCCACACATGCAGTTCCGGCCACTGGATGGCATGGCGCCCATGGAGCTGCGCGGCAGCACTCACGACTTGACAGCAGCTCACATGAGCATGCTCGGGGGTGTCTTCATGCCATCGGGCCCAGGCGGCATGTCTCTGCCCAATGGGGCTTTGAATGGTATGGGTGGAGGCAGTCATATGCCTCGCAGCATGGACTTTGGGCATGGGGGGTCTGTGGGGATGGGAGAGCCAGACATGGTGGATGGTACTGGGGGGTGTATAGAGCACTACAATGACATGGCGGCTGCTGTTGGTGCTGCACACACTGCAGTGGCCATGTCACGGTGAAGTGCCGGAATCTAATACGATAGTGCAAGCAGTAGGACTAGCAATTACTGGGTCAGGATCTCCTTCGGTGTTGAATTTCTTTCGCCATTGTGTTTGTCTTCGGTCTTGCAGTTGCTGCAGTCAACGCATCAGTGTCTGCACTGCTTGCAGTACCAGAGTTACTATTGCTTGGAGTTGAACTCGTGAGCTTAGTCCATTGACTGGTGACGTGTTGTTACAGATCCTGCCTCTACAATTGACATGCGCAAGCATCTCGGTGGAACTTGTGAAAACATTTAAAGCTGCGGTCTACATATGAAAATGTATTTTCGGGGGGTATTTTGGGTGCACACCCTAAGACGCTTGCTGATTGGGGAACGAATTGACTCTTTTCCAGAAATGAGCGCGCGAATGTTTCAAACAGAACTGGCGA